TTGTTTGGTTGGTTGGTTGGTTGGTTGGTTGTTGTTTTTTCTAAATATAATCTTCTGAAATATGATAACAATTGGGTCACAAAACATTGTTTAGATTTAAGGATCCTTTTCAACACTGTAAGAAGAGGTTCAAATTTAACGTCCGTCTCCGATAAGACCGAGCCCAATGGGTGAACAACTTTTTAAAACTCCCCAAAGCAATCCAAGTTCAGTATCTCTCGTTGCTGGTTCGAACCAAGGTCATCCATCCGCTCCGGACAGACTGAGCTATCAGTAGACACTGCACCCATAGTAAGGTCAATAAAGTGAGGTTATAAATTATGTAATTGTTGGCTAAGATAACAGTCACACTTCATGACCTCGCAATCTGAACCGAGAAATTAGAAAGATAAGTTTGTTTGTTGTTTCCTGTAAAGAATTAGTTTTTAGTAAGAGCTTTTTACGTTCCCTGCAACACAAACAGGTCACAAAGGTGCCAAAGTGTAGAGGAGTTATATTTGAGAGGAACATTCAAAGAAAAGGAGGAGAGATCATAAGGACGATGGTTCAAGTTCATGTTTGATAGGAAGGAAGGAACAAACCACAGTAGAGCACCCGCCAATCACTCACCCAGACACACACGCACACCACCACCACACACACACAAACACACTCTCTCTCTCTCTCTCTCTCTCTTCTTTGGGTAAGTTGCCCCCCCTAAAAAAAAATAATTTTTTTTTGAAAAATAAATAAATTTTTAAAAAAAATTTTAATTAAGAAATGTAATCGTATCGTAATGAGTGTGTCAGATTCACACACAAAAATAAAACAAGGGTGAACAGTACAATAACTATAACGTGGAGCGACAACATCAAAGTGCGGGGTTTGGTTTGATTTAGTAAACGTTTTACGGCACTCGCAACACAGTAAGAAACAAACCACACCAGAGCGCTGCACCCGCCAACCACCCACGGTTTTAGTGTATAGTTTTCTGTAAAGAGAAGCACAAGGATACAGTGTACCGGTCGCATAGTGCTGGGAAGAAGCAAGAGATAGACAGACAGAAACAACAGAGGGGTAGGAACGTATGACATACCAGTGGCACCCTCCAAACACCAACTCAAGGTATTGATACCAGAACAGCTTGCGACCGTAAACAATGGCGGGTCATTATAATTTATACACGTCCACTTCTGAGCCAAAGATGACACCTTCAGGTAGGCCCCTATTCAGGTCTTGTATGAGAGTAGGACTATAAAATTAATATTACAATAATATATATATATATGTATATGTGTAGGGGTGTGCGCGCGTTAGTCACTGTGTGTGGGTGTGCAGTGTGTTTTGTAATTTTGTTTGTTTGTATGTGTGTGTGTGTGTGCGTGTGTGTGTGGTGAAACACCAAACCAACGTACCATAATCTGGATAACAAAGATTTACTTTAACTCTTCTTGTGTCGTATTATATTGTCAAGATTCTTGAACTGAAAAGTTCTATCTTTTGCTGCAAATCAATGTCTTGCTCTTACTCTTAGTCTTAGTACCATACATCTCTGAAGTGAAGACTCAAATTAGATCAATTAAGGGGCGGGCTGCTTCGAGCCTGCTTAGTGTCAGAGCCGACCCTGTGTGTGCCTTGTGGGTACAGAAGTTCATACTATAGCATAAACATCTTCCTCTGATGCATCCAAACTCGAAAATTCTGCTCGCAAGTCTTTTTTTTTTTAACGTCTTAAGATTAAGAGTACAAGTTTAATTAGTTCCGAGGCACTTGCCACACAAACAGGTTTTATAGAACTTAATATAATGTAAGAGCCGAAGATTAGAGTAGACAAGTCAAATAAGAGGAAAGAATTGCACATGTGTGAGTTTGAATGTGTTCATGATGCGTGGATCTGAATGATTTAATTTAATTAAATAAAGTGATTAAGCGGTGAGTTTGGGTATTCACATCAGTAGGTATGCATGATTGAGAGGCAGTGAATTTGGGACATGACGTGTACATGTGTAGGTTTCTATATATTATAACTGAGCAGTGATTGAATGTGTGTACATGACAAGCATGGGTGTGTAGGATTGAGTAATGATTTTTAGTATGTACATGATATTAAGCGGGATTTGTGACTGAGGAGAGTTGGAATGTGTACACATGTGTGGGTGCGTATAATTGAGCAGTGAGTCATGGTGTTCCTCAAGCAAGAAAATTCTATAAAATTAAATACAGCAAAGTTTTTAAATGCAGAACACTTTTATTTGGCTGATAAAATCATACAACAACAGGCGCACATAATGCAAACGTGTATGCGCACACAAATGGTCCAGAAAATAGAGATATCATCATCATAATATTGTTCTAGGTTTGTCTTCTTTATACACAATGTACAATGGAGTCACTTTACCCTGCCTGTCTGTTTGTTTGTTTGTTATTTACATGTACATCCACCAACATCTTTACATTCTATCAGTCATAAGTCAGGAGAAATGGGGGGGGAAAAAGTTCAGATTATCTTCTCCGAAGAGAAGAAAAAAAAGATCATGTAGGCCTACTATCCAGCTTCTGACAGTGGTAACACTAACAGGCTGATCTTGTTGAATTTTATAAATACTTCATGCCCCAATCTGCAGTTCAGGTGTACCGGTACTTAAAAGCCCTAATAGTTGAAACTTTCTTTTTTAATGCAATTTCATAAAAGGAATATTTCCTCCCTCTCCTGAAAAACTTTGCTCTCTGGGCACAGAACAATTAAACACTTCGTCAGATCGTCAAAAAATAGCTGCGTCAGACTCAGAAACAACTTTTCTTGACTTGGATTAGACAAACCAAATTTCCAAAAAAATCTGGAAAACAGAATAGCAGAGTCAGAACTGAAAGACTTCATTTCTAAAACATTTAAACGTTTTCGCTTTCAAGGTGGATAACGAACATCCACGCTCTGCAAGGAAAACCAACGCAGCACAGAGCAGAGTAGAGAGTCTCGTGTTTTGAAGTGGGAAGTCTGCGGTCAGTCTACGGTCAGTTCGTTTATGCTGTTGTTTTCCGATTTCTCTCCATGAATTGCGTCATGAACTCCACCAGATGTTGGGCCTCATCCACTCGGACGGCGTTGTACAGCGACGCTCGGATACCCCCGACTGACCTGAAGGGGCGGGGGGGGAGATACAAGCAAACACGTGTGAGGCTTTAAGATGGGAGAAGATTAGTTTAGATTTCGTAAAAGTTTAACGGCACTAGCAACACAAAAAGGTCAAGCCGTGATTGCTTAAGGTCAGAGTGGTTACTAGAGAGTAACGTACACAGAAAACAAAGTGGTGACAGAAACACGTGCGAAGTTTATATTTTTGTTTAGTAAGCATTTTACTAAATCTAAATTATATATATATAAGTGTAAGTGCTGAAGAAAAGAGCAGTTACATGAGAGAAACACAAAAAAAGAAACAGGAAAGATAAGGAAGGACAAAAGAAGTTTGATAGGTCAGAAGGAGCAGACCACATAAGAGCACAACATACAAAAAAAGTTCTACACTGCAGCACAAGTTCAACAAAGAATGTTGGCAAGCGATTGTGTCAAGGGAAGAAACTGCTCGTACAAGCTAGGATTTTGGGACAGCATTGGTTCTTTCCCTTCGTACTCGCACAGGGACATGTTCAGAGCAGATACCGAATTTTATTTTTTACGTGCTCATTTCAGTCGCACCGTTTCTTTTAAGGAACACTCAGATTATAACAATTTTGAAGGTCTGTCTCACCGCTAAATTATAAGCCATTTCACTGTATTTTCATTTTCCTTCTCCTTATTTGACAGCCAGCTGATCAGATGTTGTATCTAGGCCGAAAATTTTGAACATATTATATTTAATCTATTAAAAACTTTTTTGTAGTTTCATAATGTGTGGTATCCGTTCCATGTGCTCACTAAATTTTAATATTCAGTCAAAATTCAAATTCTAAAAGATTTTAAAAGGAAGAAAAAAAAACAATACATGTCGGTGAATTTATCAAAATGATTTATCTTTTTTTGTTCTCTCCAGAAACATTTTGCTATGAGGTCTTGTTACATTTGAACAGTTTGCTGACCATGAGCTTTTCTGCTCCTACAAAATACAAAAAACTAGAAAGAAAAAAAAAAAAAATAAAAACAAGACTTATTACCTGTGACCTTTCAACTGCAAGTAGCCTGCTTTTGTCGCCTCTTCCAAGAACTGTTTTTCTAAGGCCTCGTCTGGTTCCGGTGAGCCGATTCTGATGGGAACGTTCATACGGCTACGACAGCTTTCATCAACAGGACAGCTGGGGACAAATAAGAATCAATGTCGCTGCAATTTATACAGTCTCTATACCGACCTTCGATATAATGACATCCTCGGAATAGCGACATGGTCCCCAGGTCACCATTTTTTCTAAAATTATCATTAGTAATATTTTTGGTTCTCTACAACTCTCTATAACGACAACTCTAGGGCTGGGAAAAAGTAAGACAGACAGACAGAAACAAAACGGGGAAAATAAACAAGAGGTGCCCTCAAACCACCCACACAGCACGGTTATAATTTTAAAAATTATTATTATAATTATTTATTATGATAATAATAATATTATTATTATATAAATTACTATTAGTAGCCTATTATTTTTTTTAAATTACAATAATAATTATCATTATTATTATCATTACTATTATTATTATACAGGAAAAACCATCAAACCTGAAAAGTCAAAAGGTAGTTTCCGAAATCTGAAAATATGCCGACGAAACACTTTGTGACAATTCTTAACTGGATCATACTTTTGTAGATTTTATGGGCACCTGTGTAAAAAAATGTACACAGACCTCACAAACCGGCTTAGCTCCATTATAATAAGATAATTATTAATATTATAACTTACTTGTAAAAACCCTGAGAGTTTCGGACCAGGTCGTAGACGAGTGAGGATTTTGTGACTGCGTTTTTGTCCATGCGGTCGACGCCGCCTTGCTCTTGGATCCAGTCAAACACCAGGCCCATGATGTAAATACTGGACGGGGGACAGAAGGGAGTCGTTTGTTAGTTAGTTGTATACTTGAAGTCACAGTTCACAGTGGGGGAGTGGAATAAATGCATTTGATTGATAGAAAGGGGGAGGGGGGAAGAGAGAGAGAGAGAATGAAAGAGAGAGAAAGAGAGAGAGAAAGAGAGAGAGAGAGAGAGACAGAGAGAGAGAGAGACAGAGAATGGGAGAAAGAGAGAGAGAGAGAGAGAGAGAGAGAGAGGGAGAGAGGGAGATAGAAGTAGGGAGAAGGTAGGGAAGGGGGAGAGGGATAGAGAGAGTGTGGGCAAGGAGAGACAGTAAATCCTAACATAAATTAACAAAAACTTATACATACCCCCCTCCCCCCCCCAAAAAAAGAAAGAAAAAGGAAAAGAAAATTCAGACAAGAAATTCTTCTGCATGAACACCCTCCAGCTGCCCGCTCTCACCTGTATGTGGGTGGGGTGTTGTAGAGTGAGTTGTTCCCCGACTGAATTTTGTAGTCAAAGATGACCGGGCAGACCTCCGAGGCAAAGCCAATCAGATCCTCACGGATGATGACCAGAGTCACTCCGGCACAGCCAATGTTCTTCTGGGCACCGGCAAAGATAACACCGTACTGGGGAGAGACAGAAGGAAGAAGGGAAAAAATGTATTAACGTTTAAGGAAAGCAACAAAAAAAAAAGACATATTGGTAGGGTTTTGTTTTAGCTTTAGCAATTACAAAACATTGACAACCTGTCCAAGACAATCAATCACCTGTTCAAACAAACAATTCTCACTCCCAACCCTCCCCCCCCCTCCTCTCATTTCAAATTAATATGAGACTATGCAAGACGTCAACCTGACATAACCACTTCTTTCCCACACAAAGGGTGCTTGTCTTCTATCTTCTTGGACAAATTTGACAGCTCTTGAAACAAAAAAACAAACACCCCCCCCAAAAAAAAAAACCCAACAAACAAACAAACAAACAAACAAACAACAACAAAATCATTTCCCACGAAGGACTGAGCCCTAGTCTGTTGCGTAGAGGGAGAAGGGATGTGTACCTACCTTTGAGACATCAACGTGACGAGACAGAATATTTGAGGACATATCACACACCAACGGAACGCCGTTCGTTTCGGGAACATACTGGAATTCAACACCTGAAAGAATAGAAATTTTTATTTAAAGTTTTAGTAAGAGTTTTACGGCACTTGCAACACAATAAGGTCATATAAGTGCCGAATAGAAAATGACTGCATAAACAAAAGTACAAGTTTAAACACGTAAGGATTTGTACAAGATAATGGTTATAAAGTACTGGGAACAATACCAAAAAAACCAAAAGACAGACACTGCAGAAGAACAAGAAAAAAGTTGAACAAAAAGTGATGCCCTCTAACCACCCATAAATCAAAATGCGCACATACAGACATAAGCTTGTTTTTTCATCAGTTAGGTGAAACAAGGAAAAGAAACGTAACAAAACCAGTGACTAAGACTTGAGGAGAATATTATATATAATATATCTGTCAAATGTGGTCATATTATATCCCGAAATGAAAGAAAATGAACAAGGATTGTAAAAAAGAGAATAAAACCGTGACAAAAGAAATGATAAAGCATGCACAGCTGGAGTGAAAGATAAAACAAAGACTAAAAGACGAAAGGCACATCAACGACATATTGTGGAGTGGCACGGAATGCGTTGACCTAAGAAGTACTCCAACTCACCGTGAATGGTTTCATTTGCACAGTAATATACATAAGAGGCTTCTGGGTTGAGGTTCCATGTTGAGGGGTCTGGTATCGCTGTGAACGAAAAGACAGAAATAGAACTGTCAGAAATGGTGTACCGACGGCACAGTAGATTTGACCCAAAAAAGTGAAATGGCATATAGGTATTCAGAAAGTACAGATTTCCGTAACAATACAGAGGACTGGCAGAGGTGGAGATATACATCAGGGAATGAAAATTGTACGGGCTATCCATGATTTTGAGTTTTCCTAGTTCAAAGGGAAATAACAGCAGTTGCCTTGTTCTAATCATGAATCTTGTCCCTTGTACAAGGCAACTCTTCACAGCACTACAAATTTGTCTGATATGCTTTGAAATATTTTCATTTGAAAGCCCCTGCCTTCACAGTTTAAATCTTGTGTTGATATCTTTATTAATCTAAAATATTTCGTATCGAGGGCACTCTATGGTTAAGTGCACTTTGGCGAAAGTGGCTCTGGGGTGACGGGACGACCTATCACCACTATAATTGTAACAATAATTACTCACACGTGTATTTCTTCATCTTGGGGAACACCAAGTTGACCTTGCCGAACTTCTCCGCCTCCTGGGCGGCTTTGGCTGACCAGCTGCCACAACAGATGTAGTCGGCTGTCTTTCCTGGACACGGGGAGAAGTAAAAGGGAACAGAATATTAGAACTTTTCTTCTTTTTTTCTTTAGTAGAAGTTTTACGGCGCTCGCGACTGCATAAGGTCATATGAGTGCCAGAAGATTAGAGGTCTTACAAGAGAGTAACAAAACATAAAAAAAGAAGAAGGGGAGATAAGGACGATAGATGTTTGATAGGAAAGAAGAAGCAAACCACATCAGAGCACCCGCCAACCACCCACAGTAGGAATGTCACTCGCATTTTATTTAAAATCTCACAGTATTAACAGTATGGGACAGAGCGCTATATAAATGCAATCTATTATAATTATTATTTCAAAATGCCTGAAAATTTACAAGGGTCCATTTACAAACAGAAAGACAGTTACTGGATCTAATAATAAATAATAATAATAAATTACATTTATATAGCACTCAACCATTATTAAAGTACACAGTGTCTGAGTGCTTAATAACTTAATTTTACAAATAGTGAATGCTTAGTGTGACCTACTGCTTCACGACATTTTTAAAGTGATATATGCAGGAGTCTCTCACCGGGTAGTCAATACGGAGCTCAACAGAAACAAATGCTTAAAAGAATTCTTTTGATTTTTTCTACAGAAAAAGAAAAAAAAAAGAAGAAAAACAGCATCTCTAGTCCATCCCGATAATTTTGAGCAAGTTTGACAGGACCTACCAGTTTCACCCTCCCAACCACCCGCTTCCTAAAGAGTAACAAACACAAAAAAAGAAAGAGGAAAGATTAGTTAGTTTTAGTGACAGTTTTACGGCACTCGCAACTGCATAGAGGAAAGATTAGAACGATATCTAGACGTTTGATAGGAGGGAAGAAGGAGCAAACAACAGCAGAGCACCCGCCAACCACCCACTCACCTGGCTTGAGCCCCATCAGGTTGAGAGGGACGGCTGAGAACTGACCCGTGCCCCCACCTTGCAGGAAGAGAACTTTGTAGTTGTCGGGGATGTTTCTGAGGGAAAAACAAGCAAAGGAAAGAGTTGTAATTTTAGGGGCTTTTAGGATTTCTGGTTTTTTTTGTTGTTTTTTTGTAGTAAACTAGGGCTGGTCAATGAGTCGCTTTGGCAAAATCCGGATAATATGCTAGTACACCTCTTCCGCAAATATTTTGTTATGAACCGCTTCGACAAACGGATTATCATCACTTCATCAACAAATGGGAACACTTACTTCGGCAAACGGGTCAGGAAAGAGAGTTTAATGTCTGAATTCGGATAATGTTTCATTGAGAATTATCCCGTTATCCGGATTTTGCCCACCTCTATAGTAAACGTTTTATGGCACTAACAATAAAAACGAACGAAAGGAACAAGTTTTAGTGTTAAGGAGATGTTTTTTCGTAAATATTTTATAGTAGCCTACTTGCAACACAAACTGGTCATCTTCTTTTAATTTTAGTTGTTTTTTTTTATTCCCCTGCTAGAAATAGGTCATATAAGTGACCTGAGATTTGAGCTGTTATGAGAGAAAGTTTTACAGCTGACATCTTATACAATGTCTTTGTGAGGAAAATTAAAAAAACAAAAAAAAACAAAATGCATCATGGAGAAATTGGAAATTATCGTTTTTCCTGATATCGTATACAGGTAGCCATTACAGGTTCGACAGTACTTGTAACCAAATGAAGCAAACACAAACAAAAGATAAGAAACCTGTTTTAGTTTTGTTTTTTTTGGTTACTCACAATAAATCTCTGAGGCATTTTTCCGATCTGTTGATGATTCTGCTGAAATCTGCTGATCTGTGGCTGAGTTCTGAAAACACAAACACAGTAGTACATGAGTGATACATCTCTTTTGTTTTAGTCTCGGTAAGAGTTAGAGTTAGTTTGTTTTAGTTTTAGTTTTAGTAGAGGTTTTACAGCGCTCACAAGTGCATAATAAGGTCATATGAGCGCCAGAAGATTAGATGAGTTAAAAGAGAGTAACAAACATAAAAAAAGAAGAAGGGGAGATAAGGATGACAGATGTTCCATAGGAAAGAAGGAGCAAACCACACCAGAGCACCCGCCAACCACCCACTTTGTTTGTTTGAGTAAAGAGACATGAATACAGTGAATGAATGATACATTTTTTTAGTTTCAATTTCAGTAAAAGTTTTTAGTTTGTTATTTTGTTATTTTGTTTGTTCGTTTGTTTGTTTGAGTAAAGAGAAGCAAATCAACTCGATAATCATAATGGTCATTTAGTGCTTAGAAAAAGTAAGACAGACAGACAGACAGACAGACAGACAGAGGAAGAGTAAATAAGTAGAACCTACTACCAGTGGCGCCCTCCAACCACCCGCTCAGTTAGAGTTCTGCGGCACTTGCAACACAAAAATAGGTCTTGATAGTGTTGAAGATCAGAGGTGGTTATGACAAAGTAACAAACACAAAAAAGAAGAAGAGATAAGGATGATTGATGTGTCTGATTAGAAAGGAGCATACCACACACACACACACGCGCGCACGCACGCACGCACGCACACACACACATGAATGAAAAGTATGAAAACAACACAT